TAAAGCCTGTAAATAAAGTAGACTTTAGGGTACCCACTCTAAAAATAAATGTTAACATAATATGCAAAAGAAAAGAAATTAAAATTACGGTAGCAAGCTTTAAAATATTGTACAAACCAAACAAATAAACTTAATGCATTTGCTGTTTCATAATTCCTGGCAAGGAGTGACTGTTTCCTATTAATACAGTAAAATGAAAAGAACAAAGGTTACTATGATACATAGAAGCTGAGCTTAGGGCTTTATTTCCTTAAATCTGGAAGCAGGAGGAACAAAAATGAGAGGGAAGGAATGAGAGGTGTGGCGGCGGGGGGAGAAGGAGAGAGAGACAGAGACAAAGGCAGAGAGATGCAGAGACAGAGAGCAATGGAAAGATGAACGTATTGAACATTAGCATCGATTGTATGAACCATGTTGAAGAAATGTGCTCCTTGCAAGAAATTCGTGGAGAAAAACATTTTCTCTGATCATCAGCTTTCTCAATATATTGAGAATATTTAAACACAAGTTATTTGTCTAGGGAGTTTATTATGGAAAATGAGTTTGATAAACAAGACAAAGTAAAAAAAAAGTCTTAAAAGTCAGTTCTCATCATTCTCAGATAGATGATTTAACTCTACCTACGCCCCCTCCATATGCACACTGGATATTTGACCATTCCCCTTAAATGATGGAAGAAAATGTGGTTATTGGGAAAAATCTCTTATTCCCCTCATTGTATTTCCTTAAATCCTTTATTATATTTCCATACAGTAATGAATAGTGTTTATAATGTTTGTAGTTCCACCCACATTTTTGAGGATTTGTTTTTCTTCTTTAGGGACTAGTTGGGTTTTCCTTTTCTGTTAAAAGGAGTCTAAAACGGAGCATTATGGTGAAATATTTCTATACTAGCCTGAGAGAAAACAACTTGTCTTTTGCTAAATTCACTTAATCCAACTTGTGTCCTGCTCCCCCCTTGCATCATCTCCAGCAGGCACTCGGTTCCTTTCTAAGCTGTCCTCATAGCTGGTGCCCTCATTCTTCAGTCCCGTCTGCATTGCCAAGACAAATCACAGTTCCACATGAGAAGAATCTAACCTGCTTTGGAACCATATTCTAGGACATGTGACCTATGCCTCTGGCAGTTAGAATAATAAAAAGTTAAGTTCTGCAAACATGAATTGGAATCTCATTCTTGAGCAGTTTTTTTATAGCTGTTTCTCTCTCTGGTCTGACACTTTCAAAGTGCCTATATTGATAATCTCTTAATACTGAACTACAGAAGCATGCACCAGTTCCTATGAGTAAACCCATGTCCAAATTATGCCTGGAATTTTCAATTATAACTGTTTTGTACTTACTCCCCCTGTGTTAGATTCTCGTAGTATCACTTGGATTCCTAGAGCTTTCATTGATTCTGACTTCATTCAGAGAATTGCTGTAACCCTTGAAGGTTGTACTTGCTACCGGAGGATAACTGCAGTTTAATTATCCTGAGACATTTACTCAAAAGAGTGACATGCATAATTTCCTCAAAACCTAAACAACTAAGAAGTTAAAAAACACTTTAATTCCAGTGTAATAACTTCTATTACCATTTCTGCCTTTAGTTTTGGTTGTATATTTTTATGCTGTTTACATTTAAATAGTTCAGAGCATGCATAGTTGGACAGCCTCTCCTCAAGTTAGCCATTTTTTTCGATCTTCTATATATTATTCATTTTTCATTTAAATTCTCAAAATAGAAATTATAGGAACAATCTATTCACTGACTAATTTATGCATTCTTTCAACATGCAATTGTTGAATATCCAATTTTTTGATAGTGACACCAGGATTGAAGCTATTAATCTAACTTTGGGTTAAAAAAAAAGGAAAAACATATCCTATTGGAGAATGATACTGTTTTAGGTCTTATCGGTAATATACAGAGATACTATTTTATGTAGCCAAGCTTAAAAATAAACAGCTGTTTTGCACCAAACCAAATTTTGTCTCATTTAAAAAAATAAAACCATTAAACCTATATATTAATTTTGTTCCTTACCAGTAACTTAAGTGTATGCGCAGTTAAGAGGGAAAATAACTTTCTTGCTTAATTACACTAAAGTCTACTTGCTTGATTACACTCACAGTCAAAACAACTGTGTTCATTTTATAATAACTGAATTCTAATTTTCCTGCATTGTTGTTAAAATAGTCTTCTATGTAAATGGTTCCTTAATCCCTAATATGACAGTGCTTGTTTTAATAAACACTATCAAATATTCCATAGTTTTTTTTTCCTTGTATTTGCTTTAGTATCACCAGTTTTAATCGTAATTCACTTAATTAGTTTTCCAAAAAGCCATCACTGTCCAAGGTTACAAGTGTGTAATTGCCCCACTGGGAAAACTCAATCTTTTATACTATGAAACTTTTATACAGGAAGATCATCTTTGAAGCCTCCTGATAGCCATTCTTGTCAAAGTATTTCTGGAATGCTAATTCAGTCTTTAATCCTACTTCTCTTTATTTTAATGACCACATTTTTGTTTAATAAATTCATTTCAATTGAAAACAAATCCCCAAATAAAAAATATACAATCCAGGAAAATTTAGACTTTTATATGCCCAAAGAGGCTTATCTAAGCATTCGTTATGAACATTAAAATGAACATTTTAAGATTCTTTTAAAGAGAAAATTAACAATTTAGTAAGGCATTACTTTATGAAATCTCATATTTGCATAATGTTAAATTAATGCACACAGCTGTATAGAATGTTCTATCATTACAAAAACCAAGTGGCTGTATAGAACTTTTGTTTGGGGTAGATGTAATACTAAAACACTCTTGGAAACTTTCTGTTCCCTTGATTTATCTTCATTTTCTTGCCAACTTTGCTGTTTAATTGACTAGCTAAGCTTCATCTTTCAGGTCCTTAAATGTATGTGTTCCTCAAGTTCTGATATTTGTTTCTTTTTCCTTCTCCCTTTACTTTAAGACTTCTGCTGATTCCTCAGGGATTTAGCTACTTCCTGACAAATGTTTGCTCCAGGCCTTTCTCCTGAGAGTTAGCTTCTATTTTAAGACTCTCAGGTTCAATTTATCCACAGCCAATTTATATTCATTTGTATTAAGGCAACAAAAATGTCCATTAATGGGGTGGCCAAAATGCTGTCAGTACGGTAATCAATATAGGCAGCTGTGAAAGTTAATGACAATCATGTGAACATCATATTGAGTAAGAGGAAAACTGAATATGACTGTAACACTATAGGAATAAGCAAACACAGACAATTGTTAGGTATGTAATGATGGTTATTTAAGTATAAAGTGGTTAAAACCTGTAATAAAGAGATAGTTTGACTGTTGTAATAATCAATAAATGAAATGAGGGAGAAAATCAACAGTGTGTTAGAGAATTATCTTTGCATGGTGTTATGTTATGAATCGTGTCTTCCCAAAATTTATATGTTGAAGCTCTAATCTCCAATACCTCAGAATGTGAATGTATTTGGAGATAGAGCCTTTAAAGAGACAATTATGTTAAAATGAGGTCTTTAGGGTGTACCCAGATCCAATCTGACTACTGATTTTATAAGAAAGGACAAGATTTGGATACACAAAGAGCACGAGGGATGCACTAAAGAGAGCCCACATGACAACATAGTGAGAAGGCACCATCTGCCTACCATAGAGGAAGGACTAAGAAGAAGGCAAAGTTGCTAACTTCTTGATTTGGACTTCTGTCCTTCAGAGCTAGTGACATAAATGTCTGTTCTTTGAGCCATCCAGGCCCTGGCACTTTGTTATGGCACCTGAGAGACAGGTGACAAAATGAAAAGAGATGACCATAACACGTGATTGAATCCTTTGAATGGGACCCAGTAGTATGACTCACAGAAATGGGATAAGGGTTTGGAACAGTGCATTTCAAACTACTTTAAATAATGACTGTGGGTTATATGGAGATGTTAATTCTATTTTTTAAATAATAATAAAAACTATTTATGTGTAAGAGATAGAGTATAGATACATACTTTGTCATTTTCCATCCTAAAATACTTTCCCTTGACTTTTTCTCATAGTCTCTCTCTTGCTCATATTTCTCTTATACCCTCTCTCTTCCCTCTCTACCATCATACTCCTCTCATTCTCCTCTAAGTCAGGTTTCTCAAGCTAGGAGTTCATAAAATTAACCTTCATTTTAAAATTAACTGGTAAGAATAATCACTTACTCTCCATCATCTTGAAATCAGCACATGATTGCATATCTATCCCTACACAATGCATATTTCAGGGCTGTGTGACAAGAAGTTGGATACAAGACCAATTCTGAGGATGGAGGAGAGGCATAACGTTTCACAATTCCATTTCATTTCATCTAACAGAGTTATCTAGTACCATGCAACCAACACCAGTGGGCCCAATTTAATCACTTTATCATTGGAATCTCATGTACATCGACAATTTATTTTTAGTTCCTTCTTCATCCTCTTATACTCCTGAGATTTTATAATATCATCTTGTCTTTTCCCACCTCTCTGACTCTTCTGTGTCTCCTTTCTGCACTTCTTTCTTCCAGCTGTATTCTGTAGGCTTGACCTCATTATACCATCTGATCCTTAGATCTGTGCTCTTCTTAATCTGCATCTCCCTTGGATCTTTTCTTGAGGATTTAAGCTATAATTTAGGTTGCTTGTCTCTCTTCCCTTCCCAATTTAGTTCTATTTCCCATCCTAACTTCTTTCCTGAACTTAAAATCCAAATCATTGCTGGACAGTTCCTGAATGTGCCATTAGCATTTGAGGGCACATATGGCTACGTTCCCTATCTCAGAAAATGCCTCCACCATCTGTAAAGTCATCTCCATACCTTGGAGTCAGCCTGTGCACAAATAATGAACTAGTTGAACCTATTGCCCGGAATTCATTCAGAATTAGTTACCAAAATTTTTCACGTATTCATTTTACTATTATGATATATACTTCATAACTCTATGCCTGATAGCTATTTTTAATATTCATTACTCACCATATTTATGGGGTCAACTGGTCCAATGCTGTTTACATAGACATCAGTTTCAATTACCGTAGGCCTCACTGCAAAATATCCATACAAAAAGAGTCAAAGATATAATCAGATGTTGTGTTAAATAAATATTATTTAAATAATTCTTAATAATTTTAATATTTTACCATTTCATTTGTAAAACATTTCTCATTATGACATGAAGAAACACAGCCTATTAGATAAACACAATAACCTTTTCTGTTTAAAAATCAATTATGTAACTAAAAATTACCATTTTTGACTAAAAACATTGCAATGTACAGCCTAAAAATGCTAAAACTGTCTAAATTATCCATTAAAATTAAGAAAGTTAATGCAATTAAAAATTGCTAGATAATTTGCTCTGCAGTAGTCATAGAATTTTAGGATTTGATGGATTTTAGAGTCTAAATATGTTATATAATCTTACTTAGTGCAAATCAGTGGTGCACCAGTAAATGCTAACAACCTTGCTCTTGGAGACGGAGAAAATAAAGCCTTGATTTGTAGCTTTTTCTGATTTCAGTGTTGTAAATACTCCCACAGTGACTGATTTAAAGATACCAATGTGAAGCCACTGAATGCAGAGTCGGACAATATATAATAAATGGCTATTGTGAGCCATTATAAGCCAGTTCCTGCACACACTAGAACTTGAAGCATGGCTATGATTAAAAGATGAAATGTATGTAAAGCATATACCTCCAGGTCTGATTCTTATGAGGGACTTAATAAAATTTGTTCACATCTCATTCCTCCCTTGTTAACAATATTCCTTTGGGTTGTTGATGGTTGGTTCTAGTGAAAGGTGTATTTTTATCTAATACTCAATAGTATGTTGTACAGCCATCACTATGGACTTCGTCTGTTGTGCTTTGTACATAATCATTCGTGTTTTCTCAGTCTTCAAATGACATATACAATATTTTTATATTCTATCAAAATGTGTAACACAGGTCAGCCTTTTAAATGTTCATCAAATGATATGATTAACTAATGTACACAGTAATACATATTTGATTGTGGTTTGGGCTTTCAACCTTTTTCAGGTATTGTGGCTTCCTATAATGAGATTTACCATAATAATCACAATTTTGACTCAAGATTTTTTGTTTGCTATGAAAAAACATTTTCACATAGTTTCTTTTTTTCCCTACTTCCCCACCAAATAAGATAAGTTTGTTTATCCATTCAGCAAATAGTTGTTGAGGAATGCTTGTAAAGGGTTCCAAAAAAAAAAAATCGTGAGAAGAAAATCTACCATATGTATCATGGAGATTTATATAGAGATAATGCAAATAAAATGAAGCAGAAAAACCATCTTGTACATTGAAAGTTTCTCTGCTAAAGTATGTTTCTAGTAATATTTACTGTTATCCTTTCTAAACTATGTGATTTCCCTTTCTGACCTAGTGTTTACCACTCTTACAATTCAGACACTATGTTAGACCTGGCAGGACAAACCTTCTCCTCTTATGCATAGCTGAGTCTGCCTGTCTGATTCCCGATCCAGTCCCAAGGGATGGGACAAGGCGGTCTTGGTAACTTCTAGTCTGGCAAAGCCTCCAACTGGCAAGCTTCAATGAAAACTTGAGGCATTTTGAAAAATAGTGTCTATATTACTTTAAAACAATATTTATTTTTAATCTTTGAAATTAAAAACCCTACACATGGAAAAGCATACGACATTTATATAGTTTGTTTACCCTCCATAAATTATTTTATTAAATGGCATACATATTTTCTTAGCTAGAAAAATAAATGAGACTTGTTAGAAATAGTTTTAGTATGCAAAACTCTGGATCTATAGGATACATGAAAATGTAACTCCATCTACTAGCCAACTGCTAGGTTTCTTAAATAAAAACGGATTCTATGACTTATAGGTTTCACAATTTAACTTAAGCTGAGGACTTCTGAGATCAGTCCTTTAATCATTTGCCATTTATTTTGACTAGCTATGAATTGTAGCCAATAAATATCACATAATTAAGCTATTACTAGATTTACAGAGTGGTTTTTATGAAAGCCAATTAATAACAAGACAATAGGTTTATTAGTTTCATTAGCAAGTATATTTATTATCAGTTATAAGCAGTTAAGTGCAATGTACCACTCTTATTTGATTAGATTTTTCTTCAGTTCATCTGATAAATCAACAAATACTGAGTGCCTGCTCTTTATTGCATGATTCTGGGGGCTGAACACTTGTCTACATCAAGAATTAAATGATTCCTGAGGTCATTTTTATTTGTAGGTCATAGTTCTCGCATTTTACAGTATAGAAAGTTTTAGATATGAGTAACCTACCCTGGTTTCTTGATATTAACATTTCATTAGCTAATAATAAGACAAATATACATGTTACAAAAATATTAACTCTGGCATTAGGGCTTGAACCACATTAAGGTAATTCATGATGAACATAAATCAAGTTCTTCTGGGATAGGACAAAAGGAGGATAACATCAGTGAGTCCAACGTAGAACTTTTTACAGATACAATATTCAATAAATAATTCAGTATGTATATATATTTGCAAACTATGAGTATTTTTAGTTACTCTGTATCTCATTTTATAACTTTGAGATGCTGGTATTTGAGTAGAATAAATCTGAAAGTTAACTTTTTTGGATTAATTTTGAAACTATAGCTAGTTCTTATATTCTTCAAAATATACAGTAAAGAGAAAAACAACAGAAATCTCTAATTGTTTCTTAATGATGACTTATTACTACATTTATTAATCTGTACTATGAACAGTACTTATGGATGAAATCACTTAAATATATTTTCTTAGTAATTCAGTCAGTACATTCTGGGCTCCATGATTTTCTCAGTCCAAAGTTCATTCAATTATAGGATTTCAGTGATATTTTAAAAAGGAAAACATCATCTTTCAACCCAAAACTAAAAAAAAAAATTAAACTTAGAGTAATTTGCTATTCCAAACTCATTAAATGATGGTTAGAGAATGGGCACAAACTATGTTTAATTCATCAACACACAGGAAGATCAAAGATCTCTTTTTTGCGATAGTGTAACAATGACTAAGAAAACCATGTACTGCCACAGCAAATTACATTTTTGATAGACAGAGGGAAGAAATGTAAAGATGAATTACTTTTACCAGGCTTCTTTCTGTGCTGTAATTTCTAACTACTTTGCTTTAAGTATCTCACTAGAATATAAGTAGATAAACTCCTAGTGGAAATAGAAATACACATTCCAGGCAACTCAGTAATACAGAAACTAAGATGTGGAAGGAAAAAGAAAAAAAAATCAGCTTCCAGGTAGCTAAGGCAAAACTGAAGAAAGCCAATTCTAGAGGTGGGTAATTGGTTATCAATTAGAAGCTATAAACTAAAATGAATTTAAAAAATATTTTCTTCATAATAGTTTTTAACCGTACCTCCTTGGATGCTCTGTTCCAATTAATCTAAGATATCTTTAGCATTTTATGTAGCCTTTTGGTCACTTTGGATATTAAAATTAATTTAGTTCAGTCAAAAACTCGAATCCTAGAAAATAAGTTTAATGGTCTTTTCCTATGGCCACAGAATGCATAAAAAAGAAATAGCCCCACTGATCTGGGTATGGCAGTTATAACATACAGACTTTGAAAGAACTATGAATGTCTTACTGCCCTAGAATAGACAGTAGAGGATCTCAACCCAGAGGTGTCATGTCTGAGTCCAGAGACTTCTTCCCAGGCCTTACTAACAACAAAGGAATGCCAACTAACACTGGCCATCCCCCTCCCCAGGTGACATGGGACAGACAGACACTTGGATACGTATGAATGAAAAGGGACATGTGGCTAAATAGAAGCGGAGGGGCTGTACTAATACTTTAGCCAGTAGGTACTAACATAGACAGCTAGAAAAGATTCTCACACCAATTCTGGGTAGAAAAGAATGCCTACAAAGATCACTTCAACAATTAAGTTATTTATTTGTTTATGTGTTTATTTGTTGTAAAATTTCTTTTTTATTGAAGTATAATTGATTTACAATATTATGTTGGTTTCAGATGTGTAGCATAGTGATCCAGTTATTTTTTCTGAATTATATTCCATTATAGTCTCTTATAAGACATCAAATATAATTCCCTATGGCATACAGCAACTCCTTGTTCTTATCTACTTTATGTACAATAGTTTGTATCTGTTAATTGCAAACTCCTAATTTATTCCTCCCTACCCCTTCTTCTCTTTGGTGACTATAAGTTTTTTTTTTATTTTGTATATAGATTCATTTGTATTACTTTTTACATTCTACATATAATCGATATCATATAGTATCTGTCTTGCTCTTTCTGACTTATGTCACTAAGTGTAATATTCTCTTCATTCATGTTAATGCAAATAGCAATGTTTTGTTCCTTTTTATGCCAGAGTAATAGTCCATTATATGTACTATCTGTTGATAGGCATTTGGGTGGTTTCCATGTCTTGGGTACTGTAAATAGTGCTATTATGAACATTGTGGCACATGTATCTTTTCAAATGAGAATTTTTGTTTTTTCCAGATATATGCCAGGGAGTTAAATTGCTGGATCATATAGTAGCTCAATTTTTAGTTTTTTAAGGAATCTTCATACTCTTTTCCATAATGGCTGCACCAGTTTATATTCCCAACAACAGTGTGGGAGGGTTCCCTTTTCTCCACACCCGCTTCAGCATTTATTATTTGTAGACTTTTTGATGACAGCCATACTGACAAGTGTAAGGTGATACCTCATTGTGGTTTTTATTTGCATTTCTCTAGCGCCGTGAGCAACTTTTCATGTGCTTACTGGCTATCTGCATAGGGCTTCTGCCCATTTATTGATTGAGTTGTTTTGGGTTTTTTTTTTTTTGATATTGAGTTGTATGAGCTGTTTGTATATTTTGGATAGTAGCCTCTTGTTGGTTGTATCATTTGCAAATATTTTCTCCCATTCCATAGGCTGTCTTTTTATTTTGTTGGTAGTTTTCTTTGTTGTGCAAAAGCTTTTAAGTTTAATTAGGTCTCATTTGTCTAGTTTTGCTTTTTTTTTTCTTTTGCCTT